GGGGGGGGTTCATCATTCTCAACAGCACTCCTGGGCATCTGGTAGTACCAACTTGCAAGACAGGCTCTCTGCAACATTCTTTGTGCTGACACCAGAGAGGAGCATATTTTCCAAGTAGCTAAATATCGTGGTATTGGAGGGTGGGGGGGAAGGCTTCTCTTTCTAAAAGCCAAGCTGTAACTTACTGTACCCAAAACTGCTGCAATATTCCTTTTAGAAAGTACATAAGGCAAAGTGTTTATTTCCTTTCTCTCCTACCATGCCCCATTGGAGGGTCCAAACAAAGTGCAAGACAAACTGAAGAGCTATACCTTCAACACAGAACTGTATCCTGCTAATAAGATGACTTTTTAAGATAACATCTGCTCTCCCTGCAGAGTTTGCCCTACTGAAGAGGGGGAAGCACTGACCCTCCATGCAAACAGACTGCCGCAAGCAATCTACACTGCGGTCCTCAGGGTAAGACACCTTTACCACAGGTTCAATAGAACACAGCTCTGGTTTGTCCCTGCCTCTCTTTAAGTATAAAGAACTTGAATGCTACTGAATTAACAAGACACCTGTACCAAACCTTTTCAACTATTCAAGCCAAACAACTCTAATAAAATCAGAAAGCATTTCCAGCATTTTTTTCACATGTGTACAATGCTGGCTGTACACGAGTTACTAAACTGAAGACACCTTGCAGTCAAAAATCTTACTGGAATGCAACAAACAAAAGCAACGTTATTTAAATGTTGTTTTACTGCAAATGTTAACAGTGGATGCTCACAGCTAATGAGAATTTTTACGCAACTTTTAAACAAAAGTTAAACATGTAAAACATTTAAATAAATTAGCTAGCTATGTTACTATTTAACTTTCTCATAGATCAAGTGCTCCCATTTCCTTCACTTTAAGTCTAAATCTCACAATCTTTCAAGCTTAAAACTTCAGTTCTTTTTTTTTTTTTTTTTTAAAGCGTCTCTCCATTTAGGAACTTCTTTAAAAATATCCCTTATCAAGAGACTACCAGAGCATTGAATGACAGGCATAAAACTCAAAGGTAATGCTTCCGCTTTTCTAACTATTAGACAACACACTAAGAAAAGATGTAAAATCACATGATTCTTTACCTAATTTCAGAATAAAGTAGTAACTCTAACACTCAAAAAGCCAGTTCAAACTGCAAACAGGCATTAAGTTGAAAGCTTCAGCATATGATGAAGTTGATATAATTAATATTTCACAAATGCAATGACCAGAAAATACATAGTAAAATTTCTTCAGTTTACGTTCATCACGAATGACTACACCTACAGCATGCAGATAAGATACTAAACTTCAGTTTTGAACGTTCCCTTTTTTTTTCATTCTTCTGCATGCAATTTCTGTTTAATAGTCATCAGTTGTAAACACAAAAACGTTTCCCATTTGTTAGCCTGAGCACATTAAACTCCTACCACTGTCCACAATTTAAGAAGTTGTTGTTACATACCTGCAGTTAGGAGGAGGATCAAGGGTTATTTCAGCTAGCTCCTTCTGGATTCTGTTGGTGAAATGAGAACAGACACAAAGCATTTGAGATAGTCTATAGAATAAATCAGGGAATTACACTGCCCTCTACCACCATGCAGTTAAATGCAAGATTGGCTTTGCCTTCAGTAATGCTAACATGGCTGCTTCCTCTTTGTTCTCAGAGGCATAACCCAAATCCCACAGCAGAGAAACTTTGCAGCTTTTTTTCTGCTTAATACTGTAAATAAACAGCACGCTTACAACTGAGTTTGATAGGAATTTCCCACAAGTATACAGAAAAGTAACTATTTTTCATATCTGAACACTCCTTAGCAGAGAGATTTTCTTTTCAAGCTAATATGCAAATGAGGTGTGTGGGGGGGGGAGAGGCTGTACAAGCATATTTAACAATGACTTTAAACCAGGGCTGCAGACCCGTGATTGCAGCTGAAGCAGCGAACTGTGCTGTAAGCAAATACGTTCTTTTGACAATGTTTTACCTGTTACTTTCCAGTAACATTTAAAAAGTAGATTTGCAGATCTGACAGGCTGCCTCGGTTACTGGAATAATCTCTCTGGATCAACTTTGCTCCTCTATGCACCTTCTGCTGCCTTTCTTCCCTGAAGCTTATAATTTCGAAATAATCTGTGAGCTAGCTTTGCTCTCTATCCTGTAACAATCGTTCCTGAGCTGTTAAGGTCCGGAAGAGGAACACTGAAAACTTTTTGTCAATTTAATAGTTTGTTCAGATACAAGAGAGGTATAAAGTTAAAAGATGCATGGTAAATTCCTCTTTAAAATGTCAAATAAGATTTTTCTTCAAAAGAGGCCCATAAAAGCAAGACCGTTCTTTCCTTTAAATAGGAAGCATTAAAATATGAACTAATAGAAGCTGATCTGAAAGCCATTACACTAGTCATACTAAGTTCAATCAGACTACTCAGCTATTTGAGACTTATGGAATTAGACACACAACTAAGCAAAATGAAGGCAAGAGGGGAAAACTTAGTCTTGAGTTTCTACATGATGTATCGTGGGTTTTTCAAAAAAAGTAAGCAATAATAAATTACAAAATCTACACAGTGCTTCCAGAAATCTTCCTCCAGCCAGTCCTATTTCAAAGGTGTGTTTTTTTAAACGAGCACAGATGTCAAAGCCACCTACTAATGTTCTGCAGTAATATTAACGCATTTCAAGAAGTATTTATTCAACTTAAGTCCCAATGCAAAATTCTAAAACGTTCCTAAAAATTTGAACTGCAGTATTTGTGCTGAATAAGCAAAATTTGAAGCTGCTTAATAAAGAACTTGTATGCATTCTCATGGCTGATCTACAGCTCTTCTTGCTACAGGATAAACTCAGTATTTGTAAAGAAAAGGAACTGCGGAGAAAAGATTGGAAAGTTATGTTTCATCTCAAAAGACCACTGAAATCAAGGGATTTAAAGTTTGCTTGTTTCATAGAGCTGAACTTACAGAATAGGGTTAGCGTGCTTGTCTTGAGAGCTGGACTTCCAGAAATCTTATATGCAAATAAAAATGCACCAGATAAGCACCAAAATCCTTAGAAAGCTTGTTTGGTTGTAACAGTAGAGTCTACCTATAGAACTCCATGGTTTGAACCTGCAGATCCTAAGGCAAAAGATCCACTTAAATTTCTCCTGAACAAACTGCAGAAACTATTAGGTTAAGGCATGAAAGGCTGCACTGCATATTGACAAGAAAAGCTAGTCATATGGCCTGCAAAAGCCACTTTTTTTTCCTGACTTCTATAATTAAAGAGCATTTCCTGTCACTAGTCTACAGGCTACTAGTGTACACCAGGACACTGCCCTATAGCAGTAAGGGTGAGAAAACTAGCTCTGTGAAAGAGATACCTGGAGCTCACGCACATACTCTCTTGCACATTTTCACAAAGACAAAAAAAGCCAAAAAAAACCCTCCTACCACCCAGCCAGAAAGTTACCAAATTCTTAAGCAACTCTTCAGAAGAAATATGACAAGTTTGTCTGATTACTACCTCAATAAGACCTAGATTAATATTGCCTGACAGACTCCTGTATTTAAAATCTTCACTCTTTTACTTTACTTTCTCATATAGCTTTACAAGAATCCATCTGCCCTGAAAAGTGCAACTGCAAATAGTGAAACTCAAAACACCGTGCAAAAATACTACAGAATATTTTACTATCACTTTTACCTTTTAGCACTAGTAGATAGTTTAGCAGTAGTTTTGCTGGATAATTTGGTGTTCTTCTTCTGCTGGGTTGCAGAAGGTTTTCTTTCCTCTTGCTCTTCAGGTTCAGGTGCTGGTGGATCCCTCTGATCGGCATCTGAACTACCACTGCTGGTACTTGGACTCTCATCATCTGACCTCTGCCTATCACTGGACATCGTGGGGAACTTTTAGGGGGAAGGAGAAGAAAAGAGGCAGAGTTAATGTAAGAGTCAGGACTGTCTCTTGCCATTCCCCGAGTTCTAAAGAGCACTTTCAACTTGATGACAACTCTATTTCACTGAGAAATTAGCCAAAACGCGCCTCTTTGTCTCATCCTCAGCAAGGGCTGTAGTTTGACAGCTACGAAGCAATATTTACACTTCTGAAAATACAGATATTTCCAATTTTTGAACCCACTCACATTTTTTTCATACTTTAAACAATATGCCAATTGTCGACTTTGTTCTAAGCCATGAGACAGATTTAGCAGGGTACTTAGGCAAGGAACATTAATAACTTATGACACATTGTAAATAACAGACCTCACTGAAAATGTTTTTTAAAAAGTCACTAATACCCTGTAAATATTTACACTGGAGCAGAGCATTTTATTGGGTCCAAACAGCCAGATCCCCCCCCTCTCCCGGAGAAAATATATTGCCAGTAACACTCGGGTGGATTTCAGACTGAAATAGACACTTGCTCCGTCCCTGGGCGTTTAAAGGGCTGGGCGGCGGGGGAG